GTAACGCCATGCAATGGATGCAATTCAAAGTGAGAGAGAGATCTATGAATATCAGAATGCGTCCATGCCATTAATTTGGCCAAATACATGGCATGAAACTGACGTAAGCTTAAGTAAGCTACGCCCCCCCCCCCATTTCTCTTGTAAATTATGACTTTACTTTTCGGAGTAATGGGTTTCGGACAACTGGGTTTCGGGGAATTGGGTTTCGGACAACTGGGTTTCGGAGAATTGGGTTTCGGACAACTGGGTTTCGGAGAACTGGGTTTCGGACAACTGGGTTTCGGAGAACTGGGGTGTACCCGATCTCATCGCACGTACTGCATCCCCGATGATGTCTCTCTGTCCCCTTAAATCCTCCACTGCTGTGACAATCCTGGCCCTTAGATCATCAACGTCTCTTGGTGGTGTTGTGAAGACTTTACCCTTGAGATAACCCCAAAGGAAGAAGTCGCAGGGTGTCAGGTCTGGGGATCTCGATGAACTCAATCTCGTGGTTCAAGGCAATCACTCTTCTGTTGAACAGCGCCCTTAATCTGTCCCGAACGATAATCCGACAATGAGGAGGAGCACTACGAATACTCTTTGATCTTGGGTCAGCTGCATGAACTTGCTATGTTGAATGCTTGTTCAGAAATGTGTATTTCGAATAGGACATGGTCTTGCATAGCCATTTTAATCCCTCATTGTTCAGCCATTCATGACAGAAAAAGTGGCACAAGCCAATTTCTGACATGGTCACTTAAATCTCTTAGAACTCAGTCATCCGTGAAGAAAAATAAATACCTTTGGTATCATAAGAAAAAGGACATCATAACATATCAGATGATAGCTGTGAAATTTTCCTATTATTATTCATATTTGAGAAATAAGCAATCTATTGCTGGTTTCCTTTTTTTGGGACACACTGTACTCACCAGTCAGCACCGTAGAAGGGGATTCTCCCAGGTCAAATTGACCTGCAAGGAAAGGCTGTGCCACACTCACTTCAAAATCAATACAAGTGGGCATGGCAATGAAAGCTCATGGAGAGGGACTGTTTTCTTAAATCATGGGCTTTCAACTAGAGTGAGAAATTATTGTCATTATATAGATTATGGCGTTGGCATTTTTCAAACTTATCACATTGTACATAGATGACATTTGAATCAAAGAGGAAAAATGGGAAAATAACATCTGATATGTGTTTTTTAACTTTCAATACCCATCCCCTTTCTAATAGTTGTTAATATAGCGAAAAGGAAACTTTAAATTTTTAAATGGAGAAAAACAAGATCCTAAATAGAAAATAATAAGTGACAAGGTGGGGTCCTAAACCATGATTTTTCAGAGAGTTGTATTGATTTTTTTTATTATCATGGGGACTTCTCTTAAAAGAAAACACATTGTTTTAATAAAAAAAGACAGAAATACTCATTGTAAAAGATATGACTGTCCAAAATCACTTGCCATACTACACCTGGTCTTTTCAATTTGATAACCAAAATGCTTCTTAATTCCCTTTATTAGATTGATGTTCATAAAAATGCTTGAATCACAGATAAACGCTTAAAAAACATAATGCTATGGAAATCAAATTCACTCCAATTAATTTTGAAAAATTCCTGTTGATTATGATGAGATAAAATATGATCTAAACTATAAACATCAATAAGAACCAGATAGAAGAACCAGGCGCACACACCTAAAGTCCTAAACATAAGGATACATGGAACCAAAGTATCTCATAGACAAAAGGTGCCTTACTATCCCAGACTTACTACAGTATATGGGTGCATTAGACATGCTTTGTACTTTTAGTGGTGCCATGGATGAATGATAAGGTCACGATAATCTAACAGCTTGCAAATTCCTGGTTCTCCCATCTGGAACCTGGCATGTTTTCCATTTATGGATAACTTTTTGAAATGATGCGTGTTTAACAGATTTACCAATAAAACATTCCTTTTTTTGCCTGAGACCATGGGATCACCTGATCTTACTTACGTAAATACAGAGAAGCACTTTTCCCACATTTAAACTTTATAGGGATATTCCATGAATGAATATATATCCTGTTTATGCCTTCTGGTACAATGTGCTTTGGTACAATTCACGATCCTCAGACATGCACTTTAACAATATTGTGTTGGAAGCATGCCACATCATATGATGTGCAATAATGTTGAAGATAACAGGCCCATAGTCAGCTTTTGCCAAGGGGGGGGGGGGGGGGGGGGCTCACTTCACAAAAAAATTCAGGGGAGTTCACATTTGGCCAAAATCATTTGAAAAGTGCTCAGAATGGTGAAAAACTGCATGATTTTGAAAGGAAATTGCTGCGAAGTGAGTTTGCCTCTTTCGTTTATTGCAAAGAGTAGCTTCTGTAACAGCATGGTATGATGAACATGGTAAATACAAGTCACATTAAATACAAACCACAGGTAACGATACAGAAGATCTAAACGAACACATATGACATGACCCCTTTAATAGCATGAAAGGGCTCTCCGAGTGAGATCGTTAAGACCTAACAAAGAAATATAAATTAACAACAAACCCCTGAACCCCCCTGACCACGGGCACAAGATAATAAATGTGGAAAGAAAATATAATGGTATATATTTATTTCATTTTATTTCATTAATAGATTTTGTTCATTCAATAATTCATTACAAGGTTAATGCTAATCAAGAACCACAGAAACCACAGATGTTGTTTCTTTTGATCCAGGGTGTTACTTGAAAAACATAGGAAAGTGTTGTTTTCAAATTACAGAACATCTGCATTAGACATCGTTTAGAATACCTCACTGTAAACAATAAACATGGTTCATGTTGCAGATTACAGATAGATACACAGTAAGCTTAAAATGTGCGTGCATAATTCCAAAAATGGGCGAAATTGCAAAATATCAGATTGCTTAAATTATGGTAAATTACAACCTCCGATCATCAAAGGGCATCAAAATCCAGAATATATTCTTTCTTTTTACCCCCTGCGATAAGCAGTTAGCATTTCCCCGATTAAGAACTCCCAATCTGATTGGCTGTCGCAACACTGCAACAGAAATCATGTACGAAGTCATTGCGCATAATAAGATCACGTGATTCAGTTTAATCGGGTGCTTCCAAATTGGTTATAGCAGGGGAGAAGAAGGAGGTACGCCTGGACACATCTGGACACCTGCTTAGGAGGATGGGTAAATTGTTGCACAAACTTTTCTAGCTTTGTGTGTACATGTAAAATTTATTCAATCGTGTTCTGGAAATTTAACTTGTTAAAATATGATAGTGCCTTTAAATATCTTTGGTGTATATCATTATAAACCAATATACCGGTAGGAATAGTGAAAAGATGGGCTTTACACTTTGTGCAATCTCACATCTGCAAATTGGTTTTTATTAAATCAAAGCATCTCAGGTTGCAAGATAGGAATATGTGTTAACTACCACAAGTGCTATCAAATTAATTTAAATGGGTGTTTGAGCACTTACTTGATGGAAAATTGCCATCTGATGTGCAATTAAACCTTGTATTTCCCTATACTGTGTAATTTGTTATTGTAAATGTATTTGTTAAAAGTATACCACAAACAGCAATAAAGAATCGTGTAAAATCAACAGGATGTAATAGTTACTATAACTGTAGTTTTCAAAACATTAACTGCAGTTACTGGAACTTACTTCAGAAATAACTTTAACATTTGTGAAACTCTCTTAAAGTAAGCACCTCATAACCTTAATAAAATTTGGTCCCTATTTTGGATATCAAAATCAAGTTTAGGCAGTTCAAGTAGTGTTTCCTTAAGTCCTTTAGACAAGTTTTACTGTCTTCATTAGAATGAATATATCTTGCTGTTTAAAAAAATAAAGACCACATTTCTGATTTGTATTTGTTGCAGATATCAACACTGACACCAATGCTGAATGCCAGTCTCAAAAATGGCTGATGTAATAAAACAAGATATTAACATGCAAAATGACACCACCTGCCATTTGTTACAGATGGCAATTGCCAAACACCTTACACAAAACCACTTTTGGTGGTGACATAAAAGTAATGGTTGGTGTTATGTTACGGTTATGTTGATACAGACATCAAATATGTTTATATAGATGTCTCTGGTTGAAGTAAATTTACAATATTGACTATGATGCACTATTCAAAGGTTTGCTAGAGAAGGTATGGGGATTTTGACAAAATGAAAATTGGGCTGTTTGATCTCATACCCACGGAGCAAAATAATGAGTCAATTTCCCCACCCTGGGAGAAACTATAACTAAACTGGTTATAAATAGATAAAGTTAAAGTTCCTATTACTGGGAAGTTGCATTTCAAAAATCCCTAATCCTGGAATGTGCTGTCAGAATTTCACCTCAAGGGCAATAATGTCAAATTCCAAACCTCATCCAATTGAAGGATCTCACAAAATCTTTCAATGGTGCATTAGTATTACACTGTACTAATATACTTAATCACGCCATCTAATTAACAACTAAACACCAAAATTGTTATAACAACTTTGAAACTTTTTATGAAAAAATGACCACATGAAATATTTTGTTAAGTACATATAACTTGATTTCAATAAAATATTTACATTTGTGTTGTACAGTTAATCCTATTTACTGTTATTATATACATTAGGATATACAACATCACTAACTGTACATATTGTACATTACTTATAAGCTCATAAAATAGACTAAGATTTCAGATCATCAACTAAAAATCTAAAATTGCATCATTTCTGGAATGGCACATGAAGGAAGACATGCATGTTCATAATATTAAACAAACAATACAGCTGTTTTAAAGGTTCATTGGAAACTCCATCTCTTAAAGGCTCATTGGAAACGACACCTACATGTATTAAAGGCTCATTGGAAACTATACATACATCTATAAAAGGCTCATTGGAAACTGCACCTATTAAAGGCTCATCAGAAACTCCATCATCAAAGACTCATTGGAAAATCCATCTATTCAACTTGTTCAAGGTTCATTGGAAACTCCACCTATTAAAGCCTCATCTCAAACTCCACCTATTAAAGTATCATCTCAAACTCCACCTATTAAAGCCTCGTCTCAAACTTGACCTATTAAAGGCTCATTCAAAATCAAACAATGGGTATATAAAAAAGCCTGACTAAAAATTATCTGATAAAATATCAAACCCCCTCCCATATATATACCAAACAACTTCTAATATTGGCAGGTTGAAAATAAGCCTTGTTTGAAAAGATGGAATATTTCATTATAATAAGAGCCAACGCCACAAAATAGAAATTTTCCATCATAACTGATTGTATGCAATATGGAAACTTGCATGTTTGAGGGAAGTAGTAAGGCAAGAATAAAATATGCAAGTTTTTATCTTGAACACATTAAGTTGTGGAGATGACATAAATGAAAATCACAGCCTCGGGTTAACAGCAGGCAGAGTATTGTACATGTACATTTAAGTAAATCTAATTTGAAAAAAATTTCAGGAGAAAAGTTCGATGAAGTAAAACATTGAATCTGTTTGCACATTAATCTGAATCTATTTGCACATTAGAAAATAACAATGCTTTATGGTTGTATAATATTTTACATGAGGAAATAATAAATTGCACGTTCAGAACTAAAAAGACATACATGTATTCAAAATTATTCAAAACTGCAAACTTAAATGGAATTTTGTTGCGTAAGCCAGGAAGAAATGAGGCATGGTCTAAATAATGTCAACAATTGATCACACTGAAAGTATGACCTCCATCCCCCTTTGGGATAAATCCAAACTAAAATCTAAAACTTATTAGAGACAGTTCGACTGTATCCTGAATGCTTTGGACTATCACCATTTTGAAATAGTCCAGCATTTTGATTGGTCAATTTGGCAACTTCATCATCAGAATCCTGACAGCGCCTCGCTCTCACATCACCATGGTAACTAACAGTTCTCAAAGGTGATTGGTTAATATGGCCTGATGATGCATCCCCTGAGCCCTCATATGGAATATTTAAATCAGCCATGATGTCTTCTTGATCTAATATCTCCTCGGGGATGAGTTTTCGTAGCTTAGCAACAGTGTTCAATAATGCTGTTCTCTCCAACTCTAAAGTCTTTACACGTGAGCTTAGTTGGTGTTCAGTAGCCTGCATTGAGTTTATCTTAGACTCTAAGGAATGATTAATACTATGGGAATTTTGTAACTGCTCCAAGAGTTCCATGTTTTGACGTTTAAGGTTGTTTACTTTGTGGAAAAGTTCGCTGTCACCCATCTGAGGTGACGTGACCATTTCCTCCTGTAGGACGTGGTATTCTATCTCATATGCGATCAGCTGTTTGGATATTTCCATTTTGAACACCTGAAAATGAATATATAATATCTCATTACAATGATCTAAATATCCATTTTACTTGAAAGCAAGTCTAATATTCCACAGAAATCGATCCCTTGACAAAAATGAGAACAGATTATGAAACATGGTATACAGGACTACATGTACAGTCAATCAACTTCCAAAAGTTAAATAGATGGCACTTCAAGAGAAAATAATTTCAGTCTCATTTTCGATTTATACAAAAGTATAAATTCCTGTTTTGTCACTGTTAGCCATAAAAATAAGACCAAATATGGCTGCTGGTTTTCCCTCTTGGTACTTCAGCCTCATTTCCGTTTCAGCAGATGACACTAACCTCATTGATAATTCTCTCCATCTGGACTAGACTCATGTCTGGAAGGGTCGTTTTCAGGAAATCAACCACAGTTTCAAAATTCTCACATTGTTTGATGAGCTCTTTGTGTTCTCCTAGCAACACCAAGGCAACCTTAAATATCACCTCCATGCCCTCAAGGAAGAGTAGGTCTAAAAAATAACAATATAGCAATAACTTCATTTCAAAGGGCAACATAGTGAAATCTATGGCCTGCCACTATTGTTCAAGTCAACATTGTAAAATATAAGCCTTGTAAACTAGTACTACGAGGTTTGATCCAAAAGTTCTCCACCGTTTTATCTAAAAAAATTATTTCTTTGTGAATTTTGTTCAAACTTGGTCAGGAGCAACATGTATATGATAGCTTGCTATTGTATTAATATCATTGAAAAAATATAATATTAACTATGTTATTTGGTTACCATAGTAACAAGACAATGAGGTTGGTGGAGCTGAATAAAATCACTGTTTATTACAATTTCTTGTCAAACAACGTGGTATTATTACAGAGTTTTAACCAGGGGTTTTAACATTAATGAAGTCTCTTATTTGATACAATATCAATGTTCATTCTCCCTCAAAACAGTCCCCACCATGGGCTATGCATTTATTGCATTGTTTCATCCAATCATTGAACACATGCCGATTGCCAAAGTCCATTCAATTAGCGACTCATCATCTGCAAAACGAATCCCATGGAGGGGCTTCTTAGCGTAACCAGTACTGTGGGGTTGAATTTGATAGGCTAAAGAAGGCAAAGGGACAGAAATCTGCATCTAAAGTGATGTTTATCGTCTTTTTCGACATCCACGGAATCACCCTCGTTCATGCTGTGCCAACTGGAGTTACTGTGAATTCTGCATACTATTCAAAGGTAAGTTGTGAATCCCGGGTTTTGGACCTGACTTGGACCCTGTGTTTTGGACTTGATTTCTTCGATGTCTTAGTTGATATAATATGGCTTTCCATGGTACCTTCATAGTTATACAATATGTCATGTACATGTATGTGGGTCTATTTGTGATACTAGAAAATGAACTGAGGTATCATAATTGATGTGTTTCATTTGCTATTGGAAGAATCTGAAAGATGCCATCAGGAAGAAGAGGCCAGAGTTTATTGTAGACGGCTTCTACTTCCATCATGACAACGCCCCTGCCCACAGAGCTAACATTACAATAGAAGTTATACATGAGCATTTACAAGCAGAACTTGTCAAGCATCCCCCATATTCCCCAGATTCAGCTCCCTGTGACTTCCACAATCATGTTTCCTGAAGCTAAGAAGCCCCTCAGTGGGATTCGTTTTGCAGAAGATGAGTCGCTGATTGAAGCTTTTACCAACAGTGTGTATTTAGTCGCTAAGAATGGACTTCGGCATGTGTTCAATGATTGGATAAAACGATGCAATAAATGCATAGCTCATGGTAGGGACTATTTTGAGGGAGAAAGAACATTGATATTGCATCAAATAAAAGCCTTCATTAATGTTAAAACCCCTGGTTAAAATTCTGTAATAATACCTCGTTGTTTGACAAGAAATTGTGATAAACAGTGATTTTTTTCAGCTCCGCCTACCTCATTGTCCTGTTACTATGGTAACCAAATAAAATAGTTAATATTATACTTTTTCAACGATATTAATACAATAGCAAGCTATCATATACATGTTGCTCCTGACCAAGTTTGAACAAAATTCACCAAGAAATAATGTTTTTAGATAAAACGGTGGAGAACTTTTGGATCAACCCTCGTAAAACCCTGATAACAGGCTTTGCAAGGTGGTAATAAATATATTTTCTTAATTTTACAATGGTCTTCCCTATTTGTGCCTAGAGGCATTTAATAATGAATGATGTTGCAGTAATAGGCTTGTTCAAAGAGAATCTTATACACTTGGTAAAAAAGTAAAAATAATATAGAATAAAATGTTTAATATACTGCTAAATAAGTTGCATTAAGAGAGAATCGTAGAGAATATTTTTTCCTGTATAATAGGCAGTTATTTCTTTTATTATAGCGGAAAAAAATATAATACGTATTTTTAAGAATTATTTTTGATTTAATAATATTATTCGTGTATTATTTAAAGGGAACAACATATAATGCAATATAATATAGAATAATATTCCTGTCAGGAGCAAATAATATGTTGGCATTTGCAATCAAAACCCGATTATACGCGGTTATTTTCGAGCCGTTAATCCCTAATTATTCAATTCCTATGAAATGAGTTTCATCCATGCTGATAATTAATCCGTTTGTTAGGGTTAATTAATTAATCTCTATAGCTGATGGCTCTTAATTCCACAAAAATAATTCGCAAAATAAGTTTTTTACATACATATTTGATTGGATAATGTCCCTCATGTTATGATTAACATTGTGTTAAATTTTTGATTCAATCAATTGAAATCATTGTAAAGTTAATTTTTGAATTTTGAATTAATTTGTTTCCCTCACATTTTTAATCCATTGTTTCTCTGTCACATTAAGTTTATTGCAAACAACATTTAAATCGTCCCCTCTTACACAGGTACAAACAACCACCTGTATTCACTCTGCCAACCAGAAAAACAGTCATGACAGGCAGAGACATCTCTGTGACAGGGAACTGCTCAATATTCAATAAACACATTACGCATTTTATACAGACCCGTAGCTAAGGACCCCCCCCTCCACGTGGCCAACAATTCCGTCAATATCATGTAGTTTTTCACCATTCACATACATGTATTGACATTCCAGAGCAATATAAAAAGTCAAACTTTAATACCTAATTATTCAATTTCCATGATTTGAGTTTTGTTCACACTGATAAATAATCTGTTTGTTAGAGTTAATGGATTAATTTCCACAGCCAATGGTTCTAATTTCAACTGAAAAATAAATTGCAAATTAAGTTTTTCATATTTATTTGGTTGTATAATGTCCCTTATGCTATGATTAACATTGTGTTAAAAGAACGATTCTCGGTTTGGAGAACAGCCTCCTGGGCTAAAAAATTTTTCATGAAAAATATAGAAATATTACCCAAATTAAACTATGAATATTCAAAAGAGGACAATTAAATCTACAATATGTAAAAATAACAAATTGGTCTGAAGCAGGGATAATGCTCAAATAGACCGATTCAATAAAATACAAGTCTCGATTTGGGGAATGAAGTTCATCAGTGTACTGCGCTAATATTTTTTTGCGAAAAATCTAGAAATATTACCCAAATTAAATTATGACTATTCAAAAGAAGACATTCAAATCTATATCATGTAAAAAAAATTAAATTTGTCCGAAGCAGGGATAATGCTCATTTAGATTGATGAACTTCGTTCTCCAAACCGAGAATCGTCCTTTGGATTTAATTGATTGGCTTAACGGAAAGTTAATTTTTAATCAATGGGTTTCCTCACATTTTTACTCCATTGGGTTTCCTTACAATTTAACTCAATTATTTTTCTGTCAAATTAAGTTTACAACAAACAACACTTAACTCTCTTAGTGCCGGTGCGACTTTTTGTTCGTTTGACGTCTCAGTGCCGGTGCGACTTTTAGGTCGTTTTTGAAGGAAAATTGTGTAAAACTCAAATATGTTCGTATTTCCAATTCAGAAGTGATTGAAAACACAATAAAACTATCTGATTACATACTTCAGTACTATACCTTATGTAAATGCCTCATATTGAGCCAATGGAATAGTGATAAGAGGAGAAATTAGAGTGAAACTCGACATATTCCTCCACGTCTTGGAAATATTTTCAATATGGCGCCATTGGGGAAATCCCTGGGGCAATCCATTTGACATGTCATTTTGAAACGTATGATAATTGATTAATAATTGATAAAAACTTCAATAATGCTTGCAAACGAAAAATTTAACGATAATTTATAATCTTATTTGAAGTATTACTCAATTCTAAATGCATATTATTACAAAATGATATATATAAAGAAGTGTAACTAAAATATATATATCTTGAGAATGATCAGTTCATAGATTTAACCTACTTTTCAAATGAAGATCATCCCCCGATCTTCATGTATGTTTAGCAGATTTTATGACTTATGAATGCATTCTGTATTCTATCAATAATACAAAGTAATCTGATTTGGAGCTATATTCATCAAGTACCTCGCGTGTGTCATTGCTGAAGCAGATTGGAAGTTTTCGTTTCACTTTCATTTTACAGCATACACTGCCACAAATCAGTCGTTTTTTGTTTTTGACAAAAACATGTGAGATTTTGATTTTGGAGTAAAAAAGACTTAAATTCAGACCTATCAAGCAAATACCTTGATGAAAATGTTGAAGAGGATGTCATGGATTCGATTTATTCAGAAATGATCATATCCAATGTTGTCAGTTCACCGGAAAAGGAGGTTTCCTGTACAATGAATTTTTTTACTGAATTTTCCCCAGTTGTTTACATTGATTCAGTACATGTCCATGTGGAATTGGGCCTTGTGGTGTATCCAACGGCATCTTTGATAGGTAAGCATGATATCTATAATCCTTGTAAAAACTGAAATCGTAACGACTATCCAAGTAGTTCATTGTTTATGTACTTTTACTCTCAGCAGACTACATGTACATAATCTTAGTGTACCAGAAGTACTGCATGATTTCAATGACATACAATGACAGAGCACTGTAATACCAATCGTTACGGAATATCAGATAGAAATTCTTTTGATCACCACGGTAAGGTATTCTGTACTCATTCATTTATTATTGAATGCATTTGATTCTTTTCTAGGCATTCTAGGAAAATACGTATGTTGCGGCAAAGTAGCAAAATGTTGGTTTGTCAGCAAAGAAAGTAGGGGAAGGATGAGTGGACCGATGCTAACATACCCGAGAAAGCTTTCGTTGGACTCCTGCTGTATATCTGGTCATCAGAAAGACATACTTGATGCTAGTCCATAGATACCATGAACATTGGAAAGTAATGACCAGAAATAGATAAAGGAGGTACATATGTATGACTTGTTTTAACTTCCCAAATAACGAAATCAAGAAGAATATATTTTTTCGCAGTTTTGAAATTTTGTGTCTATTTATTTTCACTAACTTTCAGTTTTCTGAATTTCATGGCTTGTACTTTTTGTAGATTTGGGAACAAATTTTTCCAGTTTTTCTTAATTTCTTTGAT